GGGAGGGATGACCGATTTGAATGGGACCCTTTCCGGCAAGTGAGAAGGGGGAGTGGCTGAGGAGGAGTTGCTGGGCGAAGGAAGAGAAGATTGGGTAGAAATAATAATAATAATAAAAAGGATCCGCGGGCAGGAGAGTCGGTCATTGCTCAGGTGTATGGAGAGGAGTGGCTGAACGAGAGAGGAGAAGAGAAGGCGGTGTGGAAACCGCCTTATTGAAAGCTTTTTCTCAGTGAGTTTAGGCTCGCTGTAAATAATCTGTAATAGCTTAGGGAGTTGGGTAACTGGTGGTGAAGCCAGAAGTTCAGAGTTTAATTCCCCACTATTGCTCCCAGGAGAAGAACTAGCCTATGTGGCCTTGGGCAAGGTGCGTAGTCTCAAGGCACCCTTGGAGGAAGGGAATGGGAAACCATTTCTGAGTACTTTGTAAATAGAACACCCTGGCAAGAATTGCCATGAGTCAGAATTGACTTGGCAGTACCCTAATTGTAAAGTTATCTGCTTTTAGTGGGGAGCATTCTGGAGAAGCAGGTAACAGGATACAACCATGAGTGTTTGGTAGAAATACTAGGTTAGGAAAATCTGGCCATCTAGGAATATATATATTTAAAGACTTCTAAGTGAAGTCTTCTGTAGAATTCCTAGATGGCCAGATTTTCCTAACCTAGTATTTCTACCAAACACTCATGGTTGTATCCTGTTACCTGCTTCTCCAGAATGCTCCCCACTAAAAGCAGATAACTTTACAATTAGGGTACTGCCAAGTCAATTCTGACTCATGGCAATTCTTGCCAGGGTGTTCTATTTACAAAGTACTCAGAAATGGTTTCCCATTCCCTTCCTCCAAGGGTGCCTTGAGACTACGCACCTTGCCCAAGGCCACATAGGCTAGTTCTTCTCCTGGGAGCAATAGTGGGGAATTAAACTCTGAACTTCTGGCTTCACCACCAGTTACCCAACTCCCTAAGCTATTACAGATTATTTACAGCGAGCCTAAACTCACTGAGAAAAAGCTGTCCGCAGGCAGCAGAATTAGATGGTTGGACAGTGTCATCGAAGCGACCAACATGAATTTAACCCAACTCCGGGAGGCAGTGGAAGACAGGAGTGCCTGGCGTGCTCTGGTCCATGGGGCCACGAAGAGTCAGACAGGACTAAACGAACGAACATATACCTGGTTGCATAATGATCTATACTGTAAAAATAATAATTAAAAAAATCTTTAGCAATGCTGAAGAGCAGTACAGGATTGGTTGATAGCTTCTGAGTACACCTAAGCTAGTTAAGTGATAATATATTAGCTTCCATCTATGTAGTTTTTACATCCTTAAGATAAAGGCATAGTCAGGATGCTGTTACCTTGATTGTTACCATAGCAACCACGATGCTGCCATGGCAACCAAAAAGTTTCCGCCGCAGTAACAACCCTAAAATTATTGCCATGGTATCCTGTCCATGCCATCAGCACTGGTGCAACATTATTGAAATAAAGACTGATAGTTCAACAATATGATTGATGCTTTGTCAACCCTAAAGAAACCAGGGTGACAGTCAGTGGTAACTTAAACGTTGACAGAAATGCCTTGGAATATGTTTGAAGCTATTGTACTTGTGTAAAAGGCTTAATAACGATACAAGCTGTTACCTTGATTGTTACCATAGCAACCATGATGCTGTCATGGCAACCAAAAAGTTTCCGCCACAGTAACAACCCTAATATTATTGCCATGGTACCCTGTCCATGCCATCAGCACTGGTAGAACATTATTGAAATAAAGGCTGATAGTTCAACAATACGATTGATGCTTTGTCAACCCTAAAGAAAGCAGGGTGACAGTCAGTGGTAACTTAAACATTGAACTAAATACATTGGAATATGTTTAAACCTATTGTACTTGTGTAAAAGGCCTGATAATGATACAAGAAAACTTAATAAATAATGCTGCCTGGTACCAATAGAAACACTATAGACAACCTCCTCCACACACTAGTTCTCTTGTGTTATGTGGCTGACAGGTGTCTTTTGTCCATACTGTTTCCAGGCAGACGTTCCTACATGTAGGCATTTGACAGGGGCAGCAGTGCACACAAAATTTTGTTGCCTTAGGCTAAGGCCAAGATCTCTCTCCTAATAGAAGTCAACTGGACAGACAGTTGACTCTTATTGCAATACAAGTGATGGCATAGTGTCCTGCACCGTTCTTGCACGGTTACAAGTTCCCTAGTCAGGGTACAGTGGATGGCAGTGTGATGAGTGAGAGCAGAAGCAATTCTGCCATCATAATGTGGTGAGGGTTATCCTCATGATGCCAGAGTTTTTCAAAACAAGACCTCTAGGCATAAGCTATTATGCCAGCTTCTCCATTAATTGGACAGACAGTTGACTCTTATTGCAATACAAGTGATGGCATAGTGTCCTGCACAGTTCTGTTCTCAAAGGGGTCCTTGCTAGGAGGCTGTTACTGGTGCTCAGCCACCCAGCATCTGCTGCCTGGATTATACAATCCTTATTTGGCCTATATTTCTTTCATATTGCGTTTATGGCCATCACCAAAAAAACACTGAGAACAGCTGCTCTAGACGGTTACAAGTTCCCTAGTCAGGGTATAGTGGATGGCAGTGTGATGACTGAGAGCAGAAGCAATTCTTCCATCATAATGTGGTGAGGGTTATCCTCATGATGCCAGAGTTATTCAAAACAAGACCTCTAGGCATAAGCTATTATGCCAGCTTCTCCATTAATTTCAATCCAAGGGGCAACTCTGCATCTTTTGACCTCCCTGGGTTTTTTAAAGTTGATTTGGAGGACTTGCAAAGTCTGTTAGCCAAGTGAACAAGCCTGAAAGCTGTCAATCAGGAAGAGAGAAAAGGTATTGCAGGGGACCTCATTTAAAACAATGTTTTTGGTATGTATGATTTAAAAATGTTCCTGTTGTGTATCATCAAGTCACCCCAAACTTATGGTAACCCCATGAATGAGCCTTCTCCAAAATGTCCCATTCTCAACAGGCCTGCTCAGCTCTTGCAAACTCAAGCCTGTGGCTTCCTTCAGGAAGTCAGTCCATCTCTTTTCCTGCTGCCTTCAACCTTTATTAGCATTATAGTTTTCTCCGGTATTCTGTCTTCTCATGATGTGCCCAAATAGGACAATGTCAGTTTCAACATTTTTGCCTCCAGAGATAGTTCAGTCTTGATTTGAACTAGGACCCACTTGTTTGTCTTACTGGCAGCCCAGGATATCAGCAAGAGTCTCCTCCAGCACCACATTTCAAACAAATCAAATTTTCCTTGTTAGTTTTCTTATTTGACCAGCTTTCACACCCATACACGGTGATCGGAAATACAAAAGTGTGGATGGTCTTGGTCTCTAGTGAGACATCCTCGCACTTGATGATCTTTTCTAGTTGCTTCATTGCTGTTCTTCCTAGTCTCAGTTGTCTTCTGATTTCTTAGCTGCAGTCCTCATTTAGATTCATGATTGATCATGATGTGCCCAAATAGGACAATGTCAGTTTCAACATTTTTGCCTCCAGAGATAGTTCAGTCTTGATTTGAACTAGGACCCACTTGTTTGTCTTACTGGCAGCCCAGGATATCAGCAAGAGTCTCCTCCAGCACCACGTTTCAAACAAATCAAAATTTCCTTGTTAGTTTTCTTATTTGACCAGCTTTCACACCCATACACGGTGATCGGAAATACAAAAGTGTGGATGGTCTTGGTCTCTAGTGAGACATCCTCGCACTTGATGATCTTTTCTAGTTGCTTCATTGCTGTTCTTCCTAGAGGTCTGATTTCTTAGCTGTAGTCCTCATTTAGATTCATGATTGAACCAAGGTAAATAAAATCTCAATTTTGAATTCTTCATTGTTAATGCTAAAGTCTAGTTCTGCTGTTTAGCCTTTTGTTTCTGATCATGGGGCATTCTTGGCAAAGATACTGGAGTGGCATTGCCAGTTCCTACTCCAGGTGGATTGCGTTTAGTCGGAACTCTCCACTATGTCCTGTCCGTCTTGGGTGTCCCTGCACGGCATAGGCCACAGCTTCTCTGAGTTACTCAAGCCCCTTCACCACGACAAGGCAGCAATCCATGAAGTATCATGCTGTAGTCATGATAAAAATATACAGTGCAGTACTGCAATGTTTTCAGTGCAGCATGCCAAATAATGTGTGTAGGACTGCAGCAAAATGTGCAGTTTTGAGATTTAGCATTTGCTAACCCCACCCAAAAGAAAGCAAGGACATGATACCAAGTCTGCCACCAGTTACATGAAAGGTTACTCTTTAAGACTCCAGTTCCTCACATTCCACGCTGGCATGGCCAAGGGCCAAGTGCTGCTGAACTTCAGGTGCTGCTGAACTTCATCTCCCATCAGCATTCATCAGCATAGCCATGAGTAACAAATGATGGGAGTTGCAGCCCAACAACATCTGGAGGGGCACAGTCCCCATCTAGTCTCTGAAGTGAAGTGCAACTCAAGAGTCAAGACTAGTTGTGCAGACAAGACACAAACGAACAAACAGGGCAGCTAGCTGCAGAGAGCAACGCCACTTTGGGCCTTTATTCTCACACAAATATAAGCCACGCTGGTTGGGGCAGAGCATGTGTAAAATGGGTCTCCCAATGTACCTTCTTCGCCTCCTCCCCATTCTGCTGTGAACTGTTTCCCTTCTTTCCGCTCAGTGGTGTTTTGAACATGATGGAAGAGATTGGCAGATTTCAGCAAGGGAAATGTTCCTTCAGCATCTTAGTGCCTCTATATTCTCTGATGCAGGAGACCAGCTTGGAGGAAGTCCTCATAATGTAGCCTGGTTGTAGGAGTGCTGCTTTTGGGGAGCATAGGAGACTGAGGGCAAAACTATATGTTACAGAGAACTTATCATTCTCACAAAGATCACATAAATATTTCAGAAACAATATTCCAGCAGACATTTACTACTGAGAGTTTTATGAGCAGAAAACCAGTCACAAAATAAAGCAATTGTTTGCAGTTGTGACAATCAGGTGTTTTCAGCTGTTAAAGAATTCTCTTTTCTAATGACAGGCTATCTCTAACATATAATTTTGCCCTGAGGTGAAGGGTGACAACTCATGTCAAGCACTGCTGAAAGAAATGATCAAAGGAAAAACAGTGCTCAGGGCACTAGCTAGAGCAGACTTCTCCAGCTTGGTGCCACCATATATGTTAAGACTACAATTCCCAGATTCTGGGAGTTGTAAGCCAACACTGAAAAGCACTAAGCTGGGAAAGGCTAGAGCAGAGCGTTAGCTAACAGTTCTTCAAGCACAAAGGCAAGGGCAGTGAGTGGCACGGGGAGAAAATGGTGCCTCACTGGCAGGTGTTGTAGATCTGGATCTGCTGGTTGATGTCTCCCAAGATGCTCCTCATCTTGGCCTCCAGCCCGTCAAGTTGAGCTGCTTTCTCTTGCAGCAGCCGCTCATTTTCTTCATACGTTTCTTCCAGTTCTGGGTAGACAAGAGGGAAAAAGTAGGGGCTGAGATGGAAAATGCAAGATGGAGAGGAGCAAGGAAGGGGCAGCACAGCTCACACATTCCCATTCTTCAAGCCAGCATCAAAGCAACCAGTTCAGCAACTGGATTCCTGCCATTCCAGACACTCCCTTTGAGGTGAAAGAATCATTTATTCTTTCAGCAAGAATGTTTGCATTGCTTCAGTGCTACATAATCTGTCCTCCCCATTGGATGCCTGAGTGCTGGGAGCAAACCAGGAAGGTGAGGGTGGGGGAGGCTTAGGAAGTGTACTGGATCTAGGGTTTAACTTAACTGGTCCTTCAGTGACCCATAGAGCCTGGCTTTGCTGGCCCAGACAAGGCAAACTTCCCTTTGCTGTTTAGGAGAAGCGAAAGAAGAAGTCCAAGCATCTGCAGTGGTTGAGGGCCACAGGATGCTGAATTAAGATGGGCCCTGCCCTGCCTTTATTTAGACCTGTCCCATCCAATAAAGTCCTCCTATCCTGGCAGAGATGGGCAGCGTGGTTCCCTATGGGTGCTGCTGGACTGCAACCAGAGCTGAGAGGAACAGCAGTTTGATATAATCTATAGGCTTTCATATCTTCTCTCCTGGTCATCCAGTTCCCTGTTCTCCGTAGCACTGACCTTTCTTTCCAGATGTTTTATTATCCCAGTCCTTGTGGCATTAGGGGGGGGAAATTAAGTTTCAAATTAGGACACAATCCCTACAAAATAATCTATTCTGAATTCAGAATGAAGGTAACCTAGGCACCCAGTTGATTAAAAAAACACATTCAAGTTCACATATACAACCCCCATCCCTTCCCAATGCTCCCGGTTACTTTACAGCAATGAGGCAGCTGTGGTGGATGAGCCTTTTTGGAAACCTTTCTAGATGTCCTATAGTAAACACACAAATTTCAGAAATACCAAACATGTATAATGTAACATAAAAGAATGTAAATCACCCTCCTGACTCCAAGAATAAATTGCAAAAATGGATGGAAGTCAATACTAATCACATCCCATCACATATCTGGGAATAGAGAAGGTCTTAACCTGGAGATGAAAAGGTGACAAATGTCTCCCTGGAAAAAGCTGGTGGGGGGGGCTAGGGAGAACATAACCGAAAAGCCCCTCCCTCTTGTCATTCCCCTCTCAGCCTCCCTCTGAGGAAGCAATCCGGGGAAGGCCTCCAATGTGTGTGTCCTTGCCTGACGTGGAAACTCTTGGGGTCTTGAGTGATACTTACCACTCAGCCGCCGCAGTTTGACATCAGCATCTTTCAGAAGCCCCTTGGCCTCATCTCGTAGGCGCTCTGCTTTCTGCCGAGCCCCCAGGACGTGCTGAGCCTTGTGTTCCACCAATTCCCTCATCGTGTGGTACCTGTCGCCCAGCTGGCCATCCAGGATCTGCAGTGCAAGACACAGGCTAGCCGGTGAGCAGGACCGAAATCTGTCCCTCACTCCTTACCACTTCGGTGTCACAGTGAAAAGAGATGATCAAATCTGAGTCTCATGATCATCCTTTTGTTGTGAATCCAGGACGGATGAGATCTTGTTCTTGTTGATAATCCTGCCGACCATATACCTTCAGCAGCAATACCAGTACTTTACACATGGAAAAGGGCAAGTCCCTGCCCCAAACCCTTTGCAGTCTTTTTCATCCTGTCTGTACCCAAGAAGAAATATCCTCCTAGATCAGAGCAGTTTCCCAGGAAGGATTAGGATGATTACTGGAATTGTTTTCCCATGAGGCACCATATCTCTTTTTGAGGCACATAATGGACTAGAAGACTGCAACAGAGGGATGACCCTGCCTCATGGACTCTGAGCGTTACTCTTTAAATATCCAAAATGCGTTATTCCACAGGAATGCTTCAAAGTTAAACAGCTAAAGCCTTGTGGTTAAAGGAAAGGACGTTACCCACCTGACTCAATCCACCTCCCAGAGGCTTTATTACACTCTCTGTCTCCCAGCCAGGGCAGGACTTCATCTCAAGGAACTGCTGCCTTTTGGCATTTGCATTTCGTAAGCATTTGGAGTCAGATGCATTTCTCCTGGACAGTTTCGCTTGCTTTGATTTCAGAGATCTCCAGGTATTCAACCCTGCCAATGATTTATTGGCCGAAATCCTGTGCCAGGTGTAAGCTCAAGCCTACCTCTCCATCTGTTCCTCTGTCATAAGCTGCCACTGCCATGATTCTCAGGGGTGCACCTGCATCCGCATACAACCCCAAGAAGGGCAGCAGTGGCAGGAACAGGTAGATAGTGACCCTTGGGCTAACACTACGAGCAAGATCTCAGGCAGTGAATGCTTTACTAGCAATTGCAGATGCTCCTTGTCACGAACAGGCAGTCACATGATCTCTCAGCTGAAACTACATTATAGGGTGTTATAAAGCAGTGGTCCCCGACCTTAGGCCTCCAGATGTTCTTGGACTGCAACTCCCAGAAGCCTTCACCACCATCCCTGCTGGTCAAGATTTCTGGGAACTGAAGTCCAAGAACATCTGGAGGCCCAAGGTTGGGGACTACTGTTATAAAGGATAAAGCAGGATGGGGTGATCCTGGAACAAAGAGCTGAGCACTTTGGAGGATGAGGGGGAGATTTGTAACAAATAGAAGAAATGCATTTCATTTACATGCTGTAATTTAAGAAATTGCAATGGAGCTTGTCAGGGTTTTTTTTTTTTTTTTTTTTTTTTTGGGTTTCTGATAACAGTGGGATGAAACTGACAACTCTAAATCCCTGGAGGCACTCACACAAAAAGCCAGTGGAACTGGCAGAAGAATTGCGACAAAAAGTCTAAGAGGATATATGAAGTTACCGAGAAAAAAATATGAAGAGCCTCCAAAGATTGATTTATACCAGAAACACTTGATTGCTATTATTTATTGGAAAATGCCTAAAGTCTTTAAGAAGAAGTGAAACAGAAATCTTCTGCAAATTAAAAAAAGCAAGCTAATTAAAACCAGCAGATTAGTAGCCTTGCACAAAGGCCCTGCGCTTAGAAAACAGGGAGGTTGTTTCCTTCACCCACTTTCTAAATCCCAGTTCAGACCAGTCAGCGGGGCAGCTTTGTCAGTCATTACTGGACTCTTTTTAAAGATTAGTTTTATTACAAATACATACAACAAAAATCTTTTTTAAAAAAGAATATTATTCTGTATATCCTTTAAGTTGATTCAATTATTTAACAATATTTTATTGCTTGTGCCCCAACCTGATATCTTTCAATATGGAATGCAATGCAGACACAGTAGGATCCCTGTATCCATGAAGAATTGGTTCCAAGCCCTTCTTGTGGATGCTGAAAGCCGTGGATAATAATGAATGCTATACATAGCATAATAAAAGAAAAAAAAGAATCCAGAAATACGGTATGTATTTTCACCATTTATTACCAGAACTGGTCACTAGAGGGAGCCAGAGACTATGCTGTGTATTTCTTCAACAACAAGGATTCCTAACATGGTCTCCCACTAGTGGCTAGTTCTGGTAAAGACATCATGAAGATATGTATTTCTAGTTCATAAAAATATTGTTAATATTTTCAGACTGTGGATAAGTAAAACCATGGATACTGACCCTGCAAGCACGGAGGTCCTGCTGTGTTTCAGTAAATAAATAAATAAAGTTGGAAGCGGGGAGAAGAAAAAAACGGAGGAGGGAAAGTGGGAAGACCCTTTGCAGCAGTGGTGGAGAAGTTGGTCTGCTTTTTTAAACCAGGTCAGAACTCCCATTAACTCCTCCTCACATGAAGAAGGATAAGGGATTATGGGAACTGCAGTGTAAAATATCTGGAAGGCCCAAGTTCCCCCGTGTCTGCTTTGGAGCCTCACATACCTGTTTGGCTTCCTGAGCTCGCTCCCTTGCAGCACTGGCCGTCTCCTCCGCTCGTGTGGCTGCCAGGCTGTTGTTGGCCCGCTTCATCTTGAGGGCATCCACCTGCCTGTCAAGGTGGCCCACCCGCTCCATCACTGCGGCCAACTGACCCTCTGCGCTTGCAGTCTTTTTGCGGATCTGGTGGAGAAGGGAGAAGACGAGGGGGTGGTATGCAATGGATAAGCCCTAGGAGGCCCACCTTGGGGTGGGGGGATGTGCCTTCTTGTCTATAATGGCCCTGCTCCCATACAAGTTCTCTCTTTTAACTACTTTACTCTTGAAGCAATAACTCGGTAGAGCTACAGGCACTAATGCAAAAGCTGCCTTGACCTGGGAAAATGAGCATGACTCCTCTGTCAGTGCCACGTTTCCCCTGAAGCGTTTCTTCCCAGTGGTTTTGTCTCAGAGAAGGTTAGCCTCTCTGTGTGGCTTATAAGAAATGCAGCTAAAACTGTCAAGATCTCTCTGTGCAGGTTTACAAGTATGTTTTCTAAGGAAGGGCCGGGAAAAGTTGGGCCCAAGGGGTGGCGTACCTGGTTAACCACATCTTCTGTGTGGTAGATGTCGCTGGCTGCATCACGGATGGCTTTCTCTGCAGCACTTTGGGCACGCTTGGCATCATCAAGAGCCTTCTTCACTGACCCAGCCGTACTCTTTACACTCTCTGCCCGAGCGCTAGTAGGAGGAAATAGACAAACACAGAAATACAGCTCCCATGTTGACCAGCAGTTCCAGCATTAGAACAAGGGGTAAATTCACAGGGGCAATCCAACTACAAGCAGGCTTTAGCCATAATCACTAAGTGAAACCTCTATGTACGGGTGCAGTATCTCTTGAATTAGCAGGTGCTCCTGCAGGATACTAGGCTAAGGAGTGCTATGAGGAAAGACTGAAAGAACTGGGCACGTTTAACCTTGAAAAGAGGAGACTGAGGGAAGACATGGTAGCACTTTTCAAATGCTTGAAATACACTCATATGGAGGAGGGGCAGGATTTGTTCTCGATCATCTCACGGTGCAGGACATATAACAATGGGCTCAAGCTACCGGAAGCCAGATTTAGGCTGAATATTGGGGAAAACGTCTTAACTGTTAGAGCAGTACAACAATGGAACCAATTACCTCAGGAGGTGGTGAGTGTCCCAATGCTAGAGGTGTTCAAGAGAAAATTGGACAACCCTCTGCTTTTATTTGGATCTCTGCCCTGAGGAGGGCATTAGACTCAATGGCCTCTTCCAACTCAATTATTCTGTGATTCTCTGGTCTATATCAGCCATTCTCAATGGGGGCTCTGTGGCCCCATGGGGCATCCTGGCACAATTGAGGAAGGGCACAGATGAATCTGTTTGTGTTGTATCTTTGTTTGTACAAAACCAAAGGCTTTCCTTTTTTGACAGGGGTCTCTGGAACCTGAGAAGATCTCCTAAAAGAGCTGTGCCCCCCCCAAAAAAATCAGAATGGCTGGTCTACATCCATGCCAAAATTCAGTAACCCTCCAAGGTTTCAGAGCAGAGTTCCTCTCAGTCTAAACCTGGAGATGCTGATGCCTGAACCTGTGACTTCCTGCATGGGAAGGAAGGGCTCTGCCCTTGAGCTCTGGGCCCCTGTCAGGACAGGAGGGACTGCAGTGCCATTGTAAAGAGCACATATTCTGCATGCAGAAGGACCCAGTTTGAATCCCTGGCATTTCCACTGTGAGTAGCAGGGCTATGGATAAACCCTGCTGGAGTCCTCAAAGAGTCAATGCTGATCAAAATAAAGCTCCTGAGCTTGTTGGACCAATGCTCTGAGGCAGGATAAGCAAGCTTCTTGTGTTCATGGCTACTCAAGTTCCTTGTAGGAAAAAGGGTCTCTTGTCCAGCTGCCCCTGTGCACAGAAAATGTTCCTGTATCTTTGCAGGAATATCTTTTCCCCAGAACTTGGAAATATTTCTTACTTACTTACTTACTTACTTACTTACTTACTTACTTACCTTCCTTCCTTCCTTCCTTCCTTCCTTCCTTCCTTCCATCCATCCATCCAGCCATCCAGCCATCCAGCCATCCAGCCATCCATCCATCCATCCATCCATCCATGAATGAATGAATGAATGAATGAATGAATGAATGAATGAATGAATGAATGAATTTTTCAGCCAGTGCCATCACTGGCTTGTTACTTGACGGTTTCCAGGAGCTGGAGTCCAAAAATTGTGCTGCCTTGTATAACAGTCCTCTATTGGAGTCCAGATGGTCAGCCCACTCACTCAGCCTGTGACAACAACCCTGCAAGTTTCACCACAAGCTGTGGAGTTTCTTTTTTAGTGTGTTTTGCCTGGAATACAAGCACCCAGGCCAGCCTTACCCAACCTGTGGCCCACCAGCTGTGTTCGACCGCCTCTCCCACCATTTCCTGTCAGCATGATTAAGGAGACAGTCCAGTAAATAAACCCCAGTTCCACATTAGGCACCAACATTAGGTTGGTTAGGCAGCAGCTTGGGGAAGACTCTTAGCTTTCCTTTCATGCTGCTGAACATGGCCCGGCTGCTCTTGGGAAGGTGGCTCCTTGAACAATGGTGTGGACCTCCCAGGGCTGAAGAGCGCCGCCCTCCGCTGCCACACTCCCCGCCCCACTCACTTGGCACGCTGGGCGTTCTGCAGCAGCTGCCCTGCCTTGCGCACATCCCCTGCCGTTTGGTCCAAGATGGCATCCACGTTGGCCAGGCTGCTGACGCGCTCCTTGATCTGCTCAGCGAGATGGTGGATTTGAGCAGGGGACGCCGGAATGGAGAGTTCCAGCACACGAGAGGCTACCAGGGCAATGCTGTCTGGATCAGCCCCCTCGACTGTGTGAGGAATAGAGCAGTGAGAGCAGTTCAAGAAAGGGAGGGTCTATCTTGGAGTCAGACGGGGGTGGTGGACCCTCCTTCATTGGGGACAGAGGGATGGTTGGGTAGCTATCTTTCAGAGATACTGCAATGTGGATCTCCTGCTTTGGCGGGGGTTGGAGTTGATAAACCCTGGGGTGCCCTCCCACTCTATAATCCGATGATTCAAATGAGTAAGCTGGCACTTCCCACCCACTCCCTCTGGGCCACCCCCTTAAGGGTACCTTTGCCTTCTGTTCTCCTCCCTTCATAACTATTTCTCCAAATCACCTTAAGTTATTTTGCTGCTGCTTAATCTTACACAGTTCTCCTGACCATGAGAACAGTTGTCTATTTAAATGTGGAAGCTACTTTGAGAGTTTTGCTGCGAAACAGAGGTGTATTTTGAAATCCTCCAAAAGAAAGGGAATCAGAAAAAGGAGCATATTACTAGAGTAGCACTCTTTTACACCACTCCTAGGGTGATTTTCTCCTTTCCACTGTAGACAACAAGGTTATTTCCTTCTTAAAAAGAGAGCAAAGGAGGAGACATCTGAGAACTATCTGGCACGATTCCTTATTATTATAAGAAATAGAGACTACACAAGATCTCCAATTAGGGTCAGACCCTTGCCTGAAACCCTAATGAAATGCCACTGATCAGAGTTGACAATAGAGGAATAGATAGAGCAAACATTTGAATCATTATAAGGTAGCTTCCTACATTCCTACTTTGTTTCTTTGTCTACTACAACAGTTTAGTATCAGCATCTGCTAAAATAGACCTCTTCCCAGATCTTGACACTTCTCTCCCCACACTCAAAATTATCTAAGTTTTGCAAAGAAAATAAGGTTTAAGAATTCTAAGTTGTTTTGCAAATATTTGGGGGGGGCGGGGCGGGTGGGAATATTTGCATATTAATATCTACTGATGAACTTGCCCAGGTTATCCTAACCATAGTATTTGCATGTCGTGGTGTGTGATGAGGGTCACTTTGGTGTCAAAAGGAAACTACTTTTTGTTTCAGAAAAGACCTTGACTTAGAGAGGCCATGCTGACACAAGAGAGGGAGTGTGCGATCTCTAATTAATCAGTTCTATTATGCTTCTGCTGATTTGAAGGGTGGGATGGGGTAGGAGAGGTTTGATTTGGGCGGGGGTATTTGTTTTTTGTTTTATTTTTATTTCTACCTCTCTGTTTTTTGGCATGGAATATTTCCATGAGCTATCTTGAGAGAAACTCCTTCTTAAGGTGGGAAGCAGAGAAGAGAAAGGTGAAAACAATTATTAATATATTGAGAATATGGCATAGAAATAGATTGCTTTTGATTCTGCACTTACGATTCAGGAATCCCTTGATTTGCTGGATGAGATCCCGCAGCTCCTTATTCGAGCGCTCCAGACGGGCTTTGGTGGCATTTGCATTGTCCAAAGCCGCCTGGGCCCTCTGCTTCGCTTCACCTGCCCGGGCTTTTGCTGCAGCCACCTGCCAAGAAGGGATCAGATCCCCTATTCAGCCAGCAGGGGGCAACAGATACTCAAGAATGCAAGGGACGAGGATTCCAACAAGAAAATTATTCATCATTCTATCAGAAGCCTATTGTGGCATTTAGGTTGTACTTGTGCCCCACATGGATCTTTCTGATGGAACAGCATAAAGCTTTTCACCTGATACATTTCCAAAATATCCAGTCTCCCTCCCCCCGCCGCACTTTTTATTACCTGGCGCAAGAGGGTATCCACATCAACCACAGCCCGGCGCAGCTCTCCCTCCGCATGGCGAGCCCGGTCCAGTGCATTGTCAGCTGTGGCCACTGCCCCATTGCAGTTGAGGCCTCCGCAGTGACGCCGGCCATCTTCATCACGGCAACCAGCCCCTCCACAGGGGCTACTGGCACAAGGGACATCCCCCGGGGCCCCACATACCTGGGCAGAGGGAGCAGCAGGAGAGAGAAACTCTGAAGCTCTAGGGATCATTTCTCACTCCCCACCATGCCTTTCAAGACTACCTGAGGCCCTCTTTCCCTCCATGGAGGCTGATAGTTTGTACTGAGATGGGGGGGTGGGAACTCTGGTGGAATCAAGGAGCACTTTGGAGCTGCTGTAGGGCATCATCTGTGCTGAAAAAGTTGCTTTTTGTGTTTCTCTCCAACCTGGAAGTGACTCGTTCAATTACAGTTTTGGAAACGTCAATGCTTTTAGAAGAAAAGCATAGATCCTGGAAGCTTCCTGGGGTGCGATTTTCCTTTTGTTTTGAACAAAACAAACAAACAAACCTAGCCAAACATTTTCTCCCAGCAGCAGTCCAGGGCCCACAAAAATGGGGGGCACTGTGTTGCTCATCACATGAACTTCCTTACTCTTGTGTTCTCTTGTTTTATTACCTACACTATGTGGGCTCCAGCTGAATGCTAGACTCTTTTATTCTTCACGTAGTTTGCCCCTGCTGAGAAATCCCCTCAGGGAAGGCTTCTCTGCAGCTCCAGTCTTGTTTTGTGCATTTTTTATACACACACACACACACACACACA